TGCTCCCGGTGGCGGGCAGAGCTGTCCTCGTCACAGGTGAGTGCCCCGGCCCCCGCTCCACTGGCCTGGGGAAGCCTCATCCATGCTGCCTCTGGCTCAGCCTCGACGCCCTGAAGGCCCCCAGTGTGGAGCCACTGTGGTGTTGGGGTTGCTGAGGTGGCGGGAAGCATGGCCTGTGGGTGCTGCCATGGCTGCCTGCCTGGTTCTCTGAGCAGGCTGTCTGGCGCTTGGGGCAGCGCTGAAGGAAGGATGACAGCGAGGTCTTCAGCTTCCATGCTCTTCCAACCTTCTCTATGTCCAAACAGCAAAGGCCAGGCTGTATCTGCCCCTGGGCCCTGCCCCCAAATAAGCAGGACTTTGGGATGTTACATGGGTCCTTAGAAGTGGTTCCTTAGCTCAAGGACTCAAGCTCTGACTACCAGTCCCAGTGTAACAGTGTGAGTTGCTGCCTCTGAAAACCAAGATATTGAATGGGATACATGGCTAGTCTGGAGCGGAGCTGGCACTTTGGTTTGGGAGCACTTTGGCTGGCCTGGGAGCTGCTCTTGCCTCTCCTCCAGAGCTGTATTGGTTCTTAGACGGCTGAAAGCTTCTTGTGGCCTAGAGGCTATGGTGAGCACCAGCTCCCTTAGGGCTGAGCACCACTGATCTGCTGAGAGATGTCCTGGGGGCAAATGAGGCCACTTCCTCTCTCTGCAGGGGAATCCCTGAGAATGTCTGCTCTGCTGCTGATGCCCACCTCCTCTCAGGGCTGCCTGGCACATGGTGGAGTCAGTGAGATGCCCTTTTTCAGGGGGCATTGCGCTCTCCCAGTCCAGGATTGCACAGCTGTGGCTTGGCTTGTGGCTGAATTTCTTTAGGGTGTTAGTTTCCAGTGTATGAGTGCTTTACCCTCTCCTTTCTCTTGGAAGTGGTGCTGGAGGCACCTCTTCAGGATGGTAAGGATGGCTGAGGTCAGTGTCTGCAGGTACTTTGCTCTGAGACAGTGGCAGCAGGCACAAAGTGAGTAGGGAACACCCAAGCCAGAGTTCTCATTAATGCTGATGTACTGGGGAGGGGGTCTGCCAGCTCCCTGATGTTTCTGTGTGGATGCAAAGATGTATTTGCTTTGCAGGGGAGGCAAGCCTGTGGGCATGACCATGGCAGGGCTCCTGAGGATGTACTGCCTGTGTCTTTGTGGGAAAGTCTGGGTTGGCTTCAGAGAGCCCTGAGTCGGTGCTCAGATTGAGAGTTGGGATTTGGAGAAGGGGATGTACATGCTTTCTAGGAAAGCTCATCTTATGATGGGGAAGTTCCTATGAGAGAGGGAGAGGTGAGAGTCTGATCTCTTTTGCAGGTTGGAGGCTTTTGTAGAGCAGCTGGGAGGTGAGAAGCAGAGCTGCTCCTAGGTGCAGAGTGGAAGGCAGCCTCTTTGAAAGAGGAAGCTTGAAGGATCAGTGCAGGAGCTGGTGGTTGAATGGACAATTCAGCTGAGTGAAGGCCGAAGCAGCAGGGGCAGGGCTGGTTGGGGAGGGCTTTTTGCTGGGAAGACATGTATGACAGCCATATACTTGTGAACATGTGTGCTATGTTGATGGTGCACTCTGGCTTACCTGGTGCGTGGCAGACCAGGTCAAGCCTGCCCTGTGCCTGTGGCATTGCCTATATAATTAGTGAGTCAGCGACTGGAACAAGGTGTTCTTGCCTTGGTGCGTGGAAATGACACCTCTGCAGCTCTGGTGTTTGCTTTTAGCTGTAAATACTTTGTGGTTTTACAGGTTCAAGTTGCAGCTTGTGATGCGGGTCAGCATTTCCTTACTCAGCTGCTTGAACAGGTGCCTTTGAAGGTGCAAATGCTCTCAGATTGGACAGCTATCCAGTCATTTGCCTATTTGCATAATAATTAGCCTGATTCCTTTGTAGGTTAAAATCAAGGCACCTCTTGGCCACTGGGTATGGAGTAGCTCCTGGTGTCTCTTCCAGGAAGGCTATGCTGTCTGCCAGGTGCAGGGCAGCCAGGGAATGTCTGCAGGCCTCTTTGAGGAAGGCCATCTGTTCTTCCTCCTTTTGCCTGCTGGAAGCAAAACACTGCGGAGGAAAATATGGAGGTGGGTCACTGATGCTGGGCCAGGGGCAGATCACATGAACCAAAGGTTTTGGCTGTTGGTCAGAATATGCCTGTGGTGGTCCTTGCTCTCTGTATTGCTTTGGACCAGTTCAAAAACTGAACAGAGTTTTTCTGAGATGAGCTGCAGGCCAGGACCAGCACATGCTGGACAGATCAGGACTGGACCTGTCCTTCAGGTCAGGGTGGAGCAGCATGGGAATGGCTGTGGCTGACTTCTGGCAGGAATGGAGGGGCATCAGTGACAGTGTGCAGAGTCCAGGAATGGAGTGCTACCATGTTGGGTGTTATGCTGGACCCTGCGGGGGGGGGATGGTAGCTTTTCTGTGCTCTGTACTTAATCAAGAAGCGCAACAAAGCCTCCTCCTAATCCTTTCTCATCTGTTAATGCCTGCCCCTGAAACAGCATGGGTCCCAGCTCAAAAAGCTGCATGCATTGTTTCTTCTGATCACTCCTGGGCTGCTGGCTTAATCTTGTGGCAAGAAGTTGCACAGGTTTAACTGCAGAATGCTTGCCTGGAGCATGGGAATGTGGCTGCAGCACTGGTGCATCTCCCAGTCAAATCCTCACCACAGCTCTTCCAGCCATCTGCTCTGGCAGGCCCCTCTGGAAAAAGCCTCAGACTTGAGCTCTACCTACAGTGCTCTTGCTTTATGTGCCCATCTGGACATTGCTGGCTAGTCAGAGCACTCTGGTTTATGGAATGATTGAAGAAAAACTAGCTTTGGATCCCAGTGAAAGATTAGAACCGATGCATACCTGCTCCAGAGCAAAGCTGCTGTATTAGAAACACTTGTGCTCAAAGTGAGACTAGAAAATCAGTATTTCCATTTGTGTTGCACATTTGCATTTCAGATGTCACATTTGGCTGGGACTTGACTAGAGCAGAGAGTAGGGACAGGCATGCAGCTGCTTCTGCCTATTGCTGGAGGGGAGTGACATGACAGGTGATGCAAGCTTCTGTGGAGCATCCCCTGGGCTAGTGGAGTCTGTGTGCACTAGTCTGTGCCATGCTGCTGGTGTGTGTTATATCTGTGGGTGTGACTCTGGGGTTCTTGGTTTCTATCTAGACTGCATGTCCTCTCTGGGAGTGTGGCTCTGGAGTATGCAGCCCTTGCTCAGGTGCAAGGATAGTGTTAATCCTGACTTCTGAGGAAAGGTCATAGCTATTTGCACTGAGTGTGAGGACATAAAGGGAAGGAGGTGGCTGGTAGAGGAGAACAGCCTCCTGTGCAGCACAGGCTAGCAAGACATCAGCTCCAGGAGGATGGGACAGTGTGAGGAGATGTGAAGGGATCAGCTGCTCAGATCCTGAGCTGGGAGACTCTGGGGAGCTAAACCTGCAAGACAATGTAGTGTGTCAATGCTGCCCCTTAAATGGGGCTCTGACTCATTCAGTGAGTGCAAAGATGCCTCAGAAGCCCATGGTCAGGTGCTGTCTTTGGTCAAGCTCAGCATGCTGCACTGACCATGGCACATGCTCTCTTGCAGTGTGGGAAGGCTGTGTATGGGCAGCTGTTCAGCTGCTTGGCTTGAGGCTGATCTGTAGTGGCCAAGCTATGGAGTCTTAGTTCTGTATGGTCCAATACCCTGCATGCCTCGCTGTTGATGTGTGGTCAGGCTGCCCTATGGCACTGTGACTACTCATAGGTGGATGGGTACCCAAAGGCCAATATTGCATGTGGGGGGCAGTGGCTCACTGGGAGCAGAGTTGGTCTGAGTGCTGTGTCAAAGGGCTAGTTTGTGTGTGCATGCGCCACCTCTTCCCAAATCTAAACTGCATGAATAAGTGGGTGCTATTCAGTGTCTTTAGGCTGCATCAGAGTAGTTCTGTACCATGGGAGTGGAAATCAGGCATTGCTTGTGTCCCTTATCTCTTTCCTTTTGGAAATCTACACCAAAAGTGCTCTACCTTCTGCAAGCTTTTGCCTGTACAAAGCTACTCCTCACACCTCTTAAATGGGTAACTGTGCAAGCAAACTTAGAGGGAGGTGAGGAACTTTCATTTCTTGGCATCTCCAGTTCAAGACTGATAGCCTTTTTTGCAAGGTTTGCTTTGGCCCCAACATTAGTTACTGGGCTCCAAGAAATGAACAGGCCTCCTTGATCTCTGTTACTTTAAATATCAGCCTAGATGATCGCTTGGTCTCTTCTAGCCTTAGTGAATGTCTGTCAGTCAGTGATTCTGTGCAAACAGCCAAACACAAATGGAATCTAAGGTTTGCTGGAGATGGTAAAGAGACTATCAGAAGCATCCTTTGTCTCAGCTGCATGAAAACTGGATGCGACTAAAGCACTTGTGAATCTCTTGCTGTCATGTAGCTCTAGTGTTTGACTGTGGTTTTTCAGACATGCGCTATTGCCTTATTTAGTTTAGAGATTCATGGAGAGGACTGAATGAAAAATAACCTGTAGATCTTGTGTGCATACAGTGTTTTGCTGGAGCAGAGGGAAGATCAGAGTTCTGTGCAGCAAAGTATCAGTTTTCACACTTTTGACTTTTCATCCAAGCTGAAAGGAAAAATGAATCTCTTCTGTTTGCAAAGGATGTACTTGAAATAAACAGTGCAGCTCTGAGAAGTAATGCAAAGCTGTAGAACTGTTGGGTCCCTTGCATCCCTGTTTCTCCTTGGGACAGACTAGATTACAAAAACAGGAGGCAGGCAGTCCTGCATATCCAGACTGATCTGTCTCCTAACAAATCATTTTGGAGAACAAACCTGTTAGTAGGTCAGACTGAGTCAGAACCTCTTTCTCCTCCTTCTCTTCCTACAAAGGAAACTCAATTTTTCTGGTAAGGTTCTCGTTGAAATTGCATGCTCCATTAACAGTCTGAAACGGGTCAGAGCTTAAGATCATTTTCAAGGTTAACAGAGCTTTTGCAACATGATCATAAAGTCAAACAGCCTCAGACATTTCCCATGGACTCAA